AAAAAACAACCAATCAATGAAAAGGTATCTAGCATTTATGTTCAGTCAAAGAAGAGATGTTTTAAGCCATTTCTAATTACCTTACTAGAAGAAATCAAAAATTCCACTCAGAGAGGAGGGCCTACGTGTTTTAGGGTGAAGTTGGCATATCATCTGTGCCACCATCAGTGTTGCCCCAGCTAACTTGGTAACCTGAACCAGAAATAAATGAGATGCTGTTATGGGTGTGCTCTGCTCCTGGGTGGGCACTCTGGAGATGGTCTACAATACCCACGGAGCATTAGGTCTATGGCATACCTTCAAATCAGAAGAATCTAGGAATCATGTAAGGCATTTCTTTCTTAATTAAAGGTCATTTTTCTCAAACCATTTTTCTCACTGTATTCAGAAATGGAGTGAATTATTGAAAGAGGGTTCCAAGTAGGCTTTCTATCTTGCCTACTATAAATGTCTATTCAAGACACATGGTAAATACACACAAGTGCTTCTGTTTTCTGGTACATAGTGTAAAACTACTTGATCTTGCATTTTTGCTGTTGTTGTTTGGGTCTGGCTTTTCCCCAATCAGCCAGAGTATAATTCCTACTAGCACATGTAGGAAATAAGCCTCACAAGTTCCTCCTTGATGCTTTTACATTCCCTAGTTTTAAAGGTTAAAGTTTCCAGTGCTATGTCTGAACTTGTACTGAAATGTTTGGCATTAATAAAACAAAGAAGGAATTAATATATTCTTTAAATTTGGGGGGAAGGAGAGGAATCTACAAAGGCGGATTTCCCTTTCTAAGCAGCATTACCTTGGTCTACATTAATAATTTTCCCAGCAGGCCTTCTTGTACTTTGTACTTGTACTTCTTGATTATACTTTGAACAACCACAGCCTTTGTTTTTCAGATCCTCTTACATGTGACATTTGATCAAAGTTTTAAAATCAGCAGCTAACAGAAAAGGAGAAAAGTACTCCTCACTAAGACATTACACAAATCCATTTTGAGGTTACTACAAACTGGATCACCGACATTCTCCAGCTAAACACTATTCACTGATGAGTTAAAATTTTATATCCTGAATACTATCTTTTATTCTACTTTATCACACTTCTCAAGAAAACATCCCCTAAATATCACTAAAGCAAACATTAAGAATGTTCTTCAGCTCATGAAGCACTGAGTTCAAACCCCAGCACCACTAAAAAAAAAAAAATTATCAAAATAAGTGCATATATTAAAAAATATCTTCAGTTCTTTCACAAAGTAAGTGTATATATTTAAAAAGATCTTCAGTTCTTTCACATAGGTGTGTTGTTTAAAGATAACCACATAGCACCAATTTTATTCCTAATTAATTAATATTTTATTACACAGCTTTTTAAAAAGTCTATTCTCTTGTAATAAACAACAACAAAAAAAATACGTACTAGCTCTGAAACTAATAGTAGCCATTCTGATGAGAAGGGATATGAAAAGAAAACTAAGAAAATCAGTTCATTAATTTATGCCTAGGTATCCTCATCCAATCTTCCCCCAAGAAATGGTGGAAAAAAAAGATTAGTAAAGGAGATACCTCACACTTCAACATGCTATATAAGGAAAGACAGCTGAAAGGAAATCTTGCAGGGAATTTTATCCCTTTGAACTTTCAAGTAAACTTTTAAGTAAGATTATGCAAACTTACTAAAAACCGGTCCTGATTAGAGGAAAAAAATGCACCCCTTCTCCAAGTCAGTTCTGGAGGCTTTCTCCAGAGTTGTTAAGGTTTGTGTTGGGTAAAGAAAGACCTCCTAACAAACCAGCATTCTTTTCCACATGATCAGAGCTAATTGGCCCCCCTGCAGACTAACTGACCAATCACATCAGCTTCAGATGGAACCAGCCCCCACGATATTATAAACACAGGAATGTAAGCTGTAAAGCCAGTCCAAGGCGAGAACCTATAAAGTAGACTTACAAGTTACAACTAACTGATCAAAAAAGAGAAACTGCAAGCTCCCTTAGGACCTACCTTGGTGTATAGGTTGACCCCGCAAAAGAACAGGTGAGTACATAAAATAATATTCATTCTTAATTCTTTCCTTAAGGGGAACAGGAAAAGAAATTGACCAGCAAATAGGGACAGAGCTAGATTACTTACAGTAGATTTCTAAAACAAAGATATTACCTGTAGGGTTATGCATAAAGGTTCTTTCTTTTCCTTAAATTTTAAATTGGAATAAAAGCTCTACTGAAAGCATTACTGAAAGTTTTGCTCTTAGTTATTTTTATTAACTGTATACTAATTCTCCATTATAATATGCCAGAACAGCCCTTGAAAAAAATTAGTAACTTTTAAAAAAATGTGTTTTTTGGAAGTGATTAAAGAAACCCAAAATGAGCATACGAAAATTATTGTCAAAAGAATGACTATGTTTCTATTTTTTTTAATCCATGAGAAAAGGGATGAGTAGCCTAATTTAAATTTTTTTAAAGCATGGAATTATTACTGAAATTAGTAGAAACTTCTGTAAATAAGAAAGTAAAATATAAAAGAATCTCTGAGTTTATGTAATAGGGTTAGAATTCACACCGGTTGCCCTAATTACAGAGCACAGGAGAGATGATTACAAGACTCCTGATACAGTTTTAAAGTGTTAACATCAGACTTGAATATTGATTTAATATTTGTAAGTACAGTCTCTATCTTAACGTGAACTATAGTACTACTTTAAAACACTGTTATATAAAAGACATAATTTTTAGGGGTACAATCTAAGAAGTACATTGAAACCATCATTTTGACATCCAATTAAGTTACAAACTATCATTTTTATAATAAACACTATTGTTTCCATCAAGTAACTTATAAATGGGTTACACATTTTACAGCCCACCCACAAAAATCCATACAAACTTTCCAGATTTTCTATTCTACTTTCTGCTACAATCAGTTGATAAGGATCACATAAATACAAATCAAGACAAGTGCATTCAAAAAGTAATCATGTGCCTGTGGACATATAAAATTACTTGGAAGGATAATACTATATACACAATGCATACCCATCAGACACTTTTTAAGTGTGCTGGAAAAAAACCATATATGTCAGAAAACAATGTAATTTTTAGACAAAAATCATAGAATAAAAAGAATGAAGTTCTACAGGAAGAGTTGTCCTGGTTGAGAGAATTGGAATAAGCTTAAAACCTTGTAAATTGATTTAATCTCCCCCCTCCCTTTTTTTTTTTTTTTTTTTTGTTGTTGTTCTTTGTTTTAATTTAAGGACACTTGGCCAAAGAAACTAGGTGGCTTACCCAAAAGGACACAGCTATGTAACCAATTGAGCCAGACCTGGATGTCCATGTCCCCTATCCTGTGTTCTTTATACACCACACTACTTGAGTCCAAAGAACACTCAGGTTAAAAGAATATTCATGTTAGCCTATAAAATAGGGATCAAAATTTTACTTCTCTCAACCACTTGCCAAACATAATTCAAACAAGACTCAACACAGTTTTTATGTAAAAAAAAAAAAAAAAGATGTCACTGTCTGATACTTGTCTTTTGACTTTAGCTTGCTACAGAAAAAAAAAAAAAATGAAACTGTAAACAGCCTAGAGTAAGACTGCTACAAAAACTGTAGGTAACAAATAATAATACTGAAAAGGCCCAACTGAGAATAGTTAAACTTGTAATTTGTAAGACTATATACACACACACATAAAGAATTTTTAAAACATTCATAAATAAAGTAGGTTGAAATCAAGGAGACTTCTTCAAGCTTTGTGAGCTACTGTAGCATTCACAAGAACAATGGCATCAAACCAGAAGAGGCATTTTCATGTAAGAAAGCAGGAAACGAAGGACAACAAAGTTGTTCACATATCTTTATGGAGACAACTATCCTTTCATTATTAGATCCTTCCTCTCAAGGGTCAAAATCTTTTTCTTTTAGACAGTGTTATTTTTAACTATCTTCTAACTTGTAGCAATGCTACATACGAACTCTCCTCTCCATGTTTTAATTTTACTGTCCTGCAGAATACAAATAGCCTAATAACTCTGACTGTACTAATCTTCAGGTCTTGAAAGAAGTCTTCCTTAACTCAAGTCCATTTCTTATTTACAAAATCACAGGTCTGAACCTAATAAGCATTCCTGAAGAACAAATATTGTGTAGTGGCTCTTGAACAAAACTAACCAAATGGAACACTGTATTATTCACAAAGGCTAACCAGGGTCATATGTCTGTTTTTGAGGCGATGTAAGGCTGACCCTTGACTTGGAGTGCATGAGATTAACACTCACTACTTACTACCTTTGTGGTCCTAGAAAACTGTGCTTCATTTTCATTATCTGTAGAACTGGTGTAATAACGCTACTTATTACTATGAAAGATAAGAAAACATTAGTAACGGTAAAGCAGCTAACACTGAGAGCTTACTCTACCAAGTACTGCCCATTGGCTTCACATGAGTTAGTACTTGTGAAGTATTTGGTATGATTCCTAGCACATAATAAACAATACATATTAGCTAATATTAATCACTGCTTTCATAAGAATCACACATAAAACTTAAAATGGCTTCAGTTAGTGATTGAGTTACAGGGTTAGAAAGCTGCTCTAGCTTCAGAATATGGTACCAGTCAACTTGGGAAAGATTTTTATTTCACTAAACTCAGAATAGACAGCTTTTTACAGTTTAAAACAAAAACAAAAAACTGAACTGGCTTTGCAATTTGCCAGACTTGGGCAATAATCCAAACTCCTCATTGTCTTGTTTAAATTTCTTCTGTCTGTCATAAGCCTCAATGACCGCATCTGAAAAATAGGTACACTGTCTAGCTGGGTGAGATACCAATGAACTAAAGATAATATAGTACAAAAGCATTCTGGTGATCTGGAACTAGATCATGATTTTGCTGTTACTTCTAAAAGGATGACAGCAGGTCTCCTAAAACAATTAAAGAACCTATAAAGTACAGGTTATTAAATATGGGCTGGGCATGAGGCTCAGCAGAGTGCTTGCACAAGGCCATGGATTCAGCCTCTAGCACAGGAGGGCAGAAACAAGACATGAGTATGTTCACAAAGTGACAAACCAAACTTAATCACAAAAATGTGAATAGTTTAAGTATGGAATATACACCAAAACTATAGATCTCAGCCAGGCGCTAGTGGCTCATAGAGGAAATCCTAGGTACTTGGGAGGCTGAGATTGGGAGGATCACAGTGTGAGGCCAGTCTGGTCAAAATGTTTACAAGATCCTATCCCAACCAACAGCTGGGCATGGTGGCATGCGCCTGGCATCCCAGCAACAATGGGCAATATAAAATAGGACGACCGTGATCCATGCCACCCTGGGCAAAAAGCAAGAACCTATTCCGAAATAACCAGGGCAAAAAGGGCTGGAGGTGTAGTTCAAGCAGTACAGCACAGAGCAAAGTCCTAAGTTCAAATACCAGCACTGCAAAACAAAACAAAAACTGTGGAATGCTAAAATCTAAGTCTTGACCACACTTATCACAAATCTATTTCTTGGCCCAGTTCTTTTTGTTTTTTTTGGCAGTACTAGAGTTTGAACCGAGGACCTCACGCTACTAGGCAAGTGCTCTACCACTTGGGCCACTCCACCAGCCAGACAGTAATACTTAATTTCCAAATTATTTCTATTTATTTACACAGTAGAATACTTAAATACTTAAACTTATTCCTTTAAATTATGAATTATTCATAATTAGAAGTTAATTATAGAAAGTTGTTATTTGTAATAATATTTGATCAAATCAATAAATACTTAATGTCTGGCCTTGCACAAAGATGACACAAGAATGTTAACAACAGGCATAAATCATAACACTCACCCCTCAGGAATTCTAAAATATACTTAAAAAGTGTTAAAATATCAAACAATATTTTAATAGTCACTCAAGAAAATGACAGAGATAGAGCCTAAGGTAATACATGATTAGCTAGCAAATGAATGACTTATTCAGTGACTGCCTTCTTATGTAAACAGTATGGGAAACCCACCCAAGTTGTAGTCAGAGAAGCATTTTCAAGAAAGCATAAAGTTAAGGAGGTTTCAGATATCATGAATATTAGCTATGAGACAGTTAAGGGCTAACTAATTCCTCTTCATTTCAGAGAATTACATACAGTCCGAGATGGACAGCAGTAACTGCAAAGTTATTACTCCTCTCCTAAGTCAGAGATACCGGAGGATGGTCACCAAAGATGGCCACAGCACACTTCAGATGGATGGTGCTCAAAGAGGTCTTTCCTATCTTCGAGATGCATGGGGAATCCTAATGGACATGCGCTGGCGTTGGATGATGCTGGTCTTTTCTGCTTCTTTTCTTGTCCACTGGCTTGTCTTTGCAGTGTTCTGGTATGTTCTAGCCGAGATGAATGGTGATCTGGAACTAGATCATGATGCCCCACCTGAAAACCACACTATCTGTGTCAAGTACATCACCAGTTTCACAGCTGCATTCTCCTTCTCCTTGGAGACACAACTCACAATTGGTTATGGTACCATGTTCCCCAGTGGTGACTGTCCAAGTGCAATCGCCTTACTTGCCTTACAAATGCTCCTTGGCCTCATGCTAGAGGCTTTTATCACAGGTAATTGTCTTTGTTCTTTAAAAAAAACCAAAAAACCAAAGCAAGTGCCTTGGAAAGGGTATAGTCAGGTATAAGCAATTCTGTTATAAGTTAGCTGTATTATCAGGTGATGCCTGAGAAAGACAAGACACAGTCCCAGCAGGACAATAGACACACACATGGACTCAGACTTAATACTTAAATTTTACCAATTAGAACTGCTTAGGAAAAAAGTGACCATTAAGACACTAACTTGCAAGAATGTTAAAAGCAGGTCTAAAAGTAGTTTTTCACAGAAGTTAACCATTTTGTTGAATACATGAATAAATAGGTTCAAGATGTATTAATAGCATGTTACCTAACAGAGGAATTTAGTTTTCTTCTTTGTTGTGCTAGAATTGTTTCCTCTCAAATCACCTCTTCATCATTTGTTGAACATAAGTGAGCCAACAGCACCAGTGAGCATTATATGTTAGAGAGAAAGTTATATATACACATCTTAGCAAAATGCATGGAAATATGGCCATACTAGGTTATACATCTAGTAACATGTAACTCTATTAAAAAAGCAGACCTAGTTTTCTTTTTAATTAAAAAACAGTAACAAAAAACCCAGTCACACATTGGTTGCTCATGCCTATAATCTTAGCTAGTTAGGGGGCTTAGATCAGGAGGATCATGGTTCAAGGCCAGCTCAGGCAAATGGTTCTCAAGAAAATAACCAGAGCAGAGGTGTGGCTCAAGTGGTGAAGAGCCTGCTTGGCAAGCATGTAATCCTGAGTTCAAACTCCACTCCCACCAAAAAAAAAAAAAAGAAAATCTGGCTTTAATGTACTGTCTAATAGCCTGAGAAGGTAAGCACTAGGGCACATGAAGGGTGACCTAGAATTAAGTTGCAGCATGCTACTAACTAGATCTACAACATAAAACAAATCCCTTAACTTCTGTAAGAGTTCTTATACTGGTTCTATTCTTGGATAAATTTAGGGGGACTGTGAATTTAATATTTTTGTACCAACCCTAACTGAATTTGGCATTTCCTTCAATTAGGAATTATACAAACAAAAAACAACTGCATCAGCACTACCAATAACTTTGGTACAAACAGAAGTCAGACATTTTCTTATCAAACTGCAGTATTTTAAAAATCACAGTATTAACTCCACTGATAGATTTTGTTATTTATGCATTAATAAAGCACATACAGTACTATACTGCACTTTTAAAATATTCATCTAAATTTCAATATAACTGTTTTCCTCTGTTTGCATCTTACATTTAATCATTTAAAATGTAATTCTGGAAAGGGCTGCATAGGTTTCACCAGCCTGCCAACAGGCTCTGTGGTACAAGAGTGGTTAGAAAATCCTTATCTATAGCTGTGAGCACAAGGAAAATGTACCTGAAAGGTGCACTGAAATCACCTTATAGTCAGAGTTTTCACTAAAATAAAAAAGGGTTACATAAGTTTCAAAGTTAAACAATTCTTTAAAGTATCAGTCCTTCTACTAGTCCCCTCACTCCCCAAATCATTCTACTCTGAATCTAATCTCTACTTCAACTTGAAGTTACCTGAGTTACTACCAAATTGCATTTATTTTCTATTACATTTTTAAAGTAAGATCATGAACATAGGAAAAGACCAATTCTTTTGACTTTGTGAAGCTAGAGGATAAAGTTTTACATTTCTATATATCAAAATCAATTTTGCTTACCTGTTTTGAAATCATGTTTTTTTAAAAATGTACATATTCTCTGAAAAACTCTTCATGCAAATGAAACTACACAAAATTAACAATGAATTGAATTCCTGGAAAGTATAGCACCAAGAAATGTACAACTATTTGATATACTCTATTCATTCAGAAAAAGTATTGATATTTAAAGTCTTCATTCTAAAAAAAAATTCAATGGTTTCTAATTTAGGTGCCTTTGTGGCGAAGATTGCCCGGCCAAAAAATCGAGCTTTCTCAATTCGCTTTACTGACTTAGCAGTAGTAGCTCACATAGATGGCAAACCTAATCTTATCTTCCAAGTGGCTAACACCCGACACAGCCCTCTGACCAGTGTGAGGGTCTCAGCTGTACTCTATCAGGAAAGAGAAAACGGCAAACTCTACCAGACCAGTGTGGACTTCCACCTTGATGGTATCAGTTCTGAGGAATGTCCGTTCTTTATCTTTCCACTCACTTACTATCACTCCATTACACCATCAAGTCCTCTGGCAACTCTACTCCAGCATGAAACTCCTCCTCACTTTGAATTAGTTGTGTTCCTGTCAGCGATGCAAGAAGGCACTGGAGAAATCTGCCAAAGGAGGACATCCTACCTACCCTCTGAAATCATGTTACATCACTGTTTTGCATCTCTGCTGACCCGAGGTTCCAAAGGTGAATATCAAGTCAAGATGGAGAATTTTGACAAGACTGTTCCTGAACTTCCAAATCCTCTAGTCTCTAAGAGCCCACATAGGACTGAACTAGATATTCATATCAATGGACAAAGCACTGACAATTTTCAGATCTCTGAAACAGGACTGACAGAGTAAGATTTATCCAGCCAGTTACACAGCTACTTTTCCTTCAATGTATCTCATGTTTTCTTTTTTCAATGCTGATTACACTTCCCTGATTACATCAATGTAATCATGACTGTGCCCATAAAAAAAATGACTGAACTAACAATACAAATTCTGAAAACATTCTACCCTATAAAGTTTGCTATCTGTGATTATCTGCTGAAATCAACATGACTCAACCTGATAGAAATTCATACAGAAATGTCACGGGTGAATTTATAAAGATTTTGTATGATACCAGTAGTGAAAGTAAAATGTACAGTGAATTTTAAAACAGTTGAATCCTAAGAAAATTAACCATAAATATCTCATTTCCATCTGCAAATTAAAGCAGCAGTCTAGTCTGAAAACTAGCTCCCTGGGTGGAAAGATGACTTCACAATATTTAGTGAACACCCTTTTAAAACTGTTATCTTTTCAAGACAACAAAGTCCATTCCTTTGGTTCTTCATACTACAAAACTAGGGTAAGTATTACCTCCTTAATTTTTAACAGCCAAGAACAAAAATCCAAAAGATACACAGTATAGATTTATACACAACGCTAAAAGCATTTGAACATGACATGTAAATGCATGCATATGTTCATATATTTGTGGCAGAAAGTAATCAGAGCAAATAAGTGAAGTTCTGGCCCAAAGAGAACCTGAAGAGTGGTATTTGTGGCAAGGAGATGCAAAATAATAACTACTTTTTAAAAATAACTTGCATAATAATCAAGTCATGATTTAAAAATTCTATCTAGCTATCTGAATTACTTCCCAGTAAACAGTCTCTTCTAGTTATGACTCATTCAATGACATAAATCATGGCTGCTGTAAATATTTCATAAATACAAACATATATTTAAGTTTTTACAGATAAAAAAAGGTTATGTTAGATATAACTTAGGAAAAAAATCTCAATAGATACAGAGAAAAATAATTAGGCAACAAAGTACTTTCAAATCCAAATTCCTGTTTCCAACATCAAATAGTTTTTTCTCTAAACACAAAACGAGTGTTTATTTACCAGTAGGAGGTTGGACTAAATGATCCCTATTATTTCTTTCCAACTCTAACACTCCAAGAAAATTACACTTTTTCTGCCTCAGTTTTTATTTAACATATACTAAAATGAACTCTTTCTCTTACATCCAGCTTAATTTAAGATACTTTTAAAAATAATTTTCATTTCAATTTAACAAGAAACTGTTCACTAGCAAAACAAGAACCAAAAAGTCACCCGATCAGGTTTCAAACAGATTCTTAGTTGCTTGTCCTCTCTGAAATTTCCCTTATTCAGGCTTATGTGGGAAAAACGAAAGACTGAGCTTCCCCACTGGTGGATGACCCAGGCAGGAATCATCTCTGAAATAAATACTAGCTGAGTAAAGGCAATCAGTTGTAAAGAGCAGTACACAGCAGCAAGTCACATTTTTCTACTCTTTGACCAAAAGGAAAAGAAAATAAAGAAGAACTCTGGAGTGGTGTAAGACTGATAATTGCAGAAAAAGATCAAGAATACAAAAAACTAATTATTGTGAACTTTTGCTGTTTAAAAATCTTAGGCATTCATTCTTAAGTAGTAGTCAGACCAACCGATTTCTTTTCCAACCCAAGACTATTGTAATACATGAAGGCAGCAGGAATTCTTGCAATAAATTAACAAGAATCACCTAACCCGTGAAAATAAAAGTGGTGTCAAAGACTCACATGGTATGTTTCTTCCTAAGAGTGCTACCACTTACATAGATCACAATTTCAACAGTTAAGTGAAGCTGCCCAAGATGACCCAAATGAATACCTAAGACCTGGGATCCAAATCTCCCTATAGATGCTTCATGCTCCCTGTTCAAGTTGGATGAGTCTTGTGTAATATCTACTGTTCAGACATAAACTTGGCATCTGAAAACAAAACAGGACTTCCCTTCTATACTCCAAAAAAACTGTTGGCAAACTAATAGCTACTTAATGCTATTTAAAATTTTACAACTAAGAAATTTCATCAGGCAATAGAAAGCTTTCTAATTCTTTCACTTATTTCCAAGAATCATATTCTAGGATTAAGTTTTCTGCAGAGACCATTATCCCCTAAGGAAAATGGAGTATGAATGGAAAGGGGGAAATTAATGGGAAGCTCTGCCTTCCTGGGCTGGGAAGCTCCCTAACGTAAGCCACCAGGGAGCGCACATATGCGACCAGGAAGACCACTTTAGACATAATGTACACTCTTACACACTCATAAGACAGCATGACAGCACTAACAAACTGAAGAACTTAAGGGCCCATATTACCAGCTGCCAGAAACAGCCTACAATCAAAATTACCTATGTCTATGTCCAAGTATTTCACACCAAAATGCATTACTCTGTAACAAGCTTGGCTGAGCCTATTGGTATCATATGAATCATTTATTTTTTAATGATCATTTCATTGCATCCTTACAGAAACATACTGTAAGATGATCACAAGAGCTGATCACCTTTGTACAGCAAACAAGTCAAACTGAGTAAGAATTATAAATCCAGTATACAAGGCTTTTTTCCATCTTAACATTCTCCCATGAATACTTACAGGGGTAATGCATGATTCTTACCTATACATTTGTAATTCCACCCATTTCTCTTCACATATAAAACAAATACATGAAGGTGTAGCTCAGTGGCAGAGCACTTGCCTAGCATATGCAAGGCCCTAGGTTTGAGCTTCAGCACCACCAGAAAAAAATTAAATACATGGTATAAAGCAACTCTAATTTTAAAAGGAACAAATCATTGTGAAGTCTTTAATACTTGAATTATCCTAACCTGATGTAACAAGACATCTCACAATTGATCAACAGTATGTCTCACCAAACTAGTTTAGAGCTGCTATTCTTGGAAAATGGTCAGATATAATTTTTAAATCTATATTATTTCAACAAATACTGATTACTTATCAGTCAATAAAAGTAATTACAGCCTAATAAAATATGTATGTTTGTGGAAAATGTCATAGTTTAGTATACTTGTAACTAACATATTAACCTCCTTAACAGTCTACACTTCATGCCAACTTAGTTTTATGCAATTCACCTTTTCAAAGATATACAGTGCAAAGAAAAGAACCTTTACTCATAATAGTCTGACAAAGAAAATTAATTAGATTAATATGATACTCACAAGTAATGATAATGATGGAAAATAACTTTATACTCATCTATTCCTACCACCAAAGTGTGAATATGTATTAAGGTAAAATCAAACTATTCTCACCCAAAGAACTCATTACTTTCCCAAGGCAAGCCAAGTCATTTTCAGACAACCCTAACTATTAAATTTTTCTAAGAATGTGTCAAATTCCTGCCTCCTTGAGCCTTCTGTTGTTTGGCCCCCTTCTGCCCTTGAAACTCATACAGATCAAACCTAATTTCTCTTTTACATGATCATTAAAGCAAGTACTTAGAGGCAGTAACCCTATAAATCTTCCTGTCCTCCCCACAGTCTTGTCTCTATCCAAACAGCCCCATTTCCTTTATGCCGTCCTCATCACAAGACTTCAAAAGTATCTTGGCCATTTACTCCAGTGTATGAACCCTTTCAAGGTGTGACCCCAGAAGTGAATACAATGCTTAAGCTGTTCTGTGACAACATAGAAGACTACGAGCCTCTCCATCACCTGACTCCCTGAGGACATTAGATCTTAATAAATACTGGGAAGAGACCATCATGCTAGTAAATAACAAAGCTACAGTTAGCTGAGAGGGCAGTCTATCCCCAGGAGGCTGCTGTAACACACAGCTACTCAGGACTCTAAATTTTGCAATTTGTTTATATAAGACTTTGTATTTCCTGCTGTTAAACTTCTATTTAATTAGATTTTTTTGTTGTTCCACCTTAATTCTGATCCCAAGAAATTTCCCATTCCCTAGCTATCCCTCACAACACTGAATGATTTGAAAATCTGATCAGCACCAACAATATCCTCCACAGAAAAGGAATATTTCTTTAGCACCTAGTACAAGCCTGGGTACATAATTAGGAATTCAGTATTTGTTAATGAATCCATGTACTCTTATTCTGTCCTACACATTTTGTAAGGCATTATACTTCATTTTATTATGAGACGAATGAACTTCTGAAAGCTCTGAATCTTCTGATTCCAAATCCTGTACTCTTTAAACCACCCACTCAGGCTGGCAGAGTGGCTCAAATGGTAGAGTGCCTGCCTATCAAACCCCAGTACTGCCAAAAATATTAAAATAAAATAACCTCCCCCCCCCCAATCACTTCTCCATACTCACTGGTCAAAGTATTGAATCAGATATGGATGGGAGCAGAGGTCCTAACAAGTCCCTCAAGATAACACTTATCCAGTAGCCTATAATATGGTTAAAGCTAGCCGGTCACCGGTGGCTTACACCTGTAATCCTACCTACTCAGGAGGCAGGGATCAGGAGGATCACGGTGCGAAGCCAGCCCAGGCAAATAGTAACACAAGTCCCTATCTCGAAAAACTCTTCACAAAATAGGGCTGGTGGAGTGGTTCAAGGTGAAGGCCCTGAATTCAAGCCTCAGAACCACAAAAAAAAAAAAGGGTAAAGCTGACAACAAACTTTCAATTTGATCTGACTCAAATTTCTTCATGCTTCACTCATTGAATATCTTTTCATTCATATAAATAAGCCAAATATCCTCAATATCATGGTAATGAGGAATTTAAATCACTGATGTACCCAAATGAGTTTTATATGGAACCTGAAGGTAAAACTGGTTGCTGTAACCACTTCGTTTACAAAACAATCTGCATATTAATCTGTGACTAGGATTTACATGTTTAATATATGTTATAAGAAATGTTTACCACAGGGCTGGGGATGTAGCTCAATGGTTGAGTGTTTGCCTAGCATGCATGAGGCCACGGGTTACAATCACTCTAGGGAACTTTCATGGTACATGTATGAATATGGAATGTGGGTGATGATTTTCACAACAGCTATAATACTATAAATCCATCTGAGAGATGAATATTTCGTCTCTCCGAAATCACTGTCTACTGGAAGTGTATAAGGCAGTGCCTTTAATCAGTCAGAAAGCACACATTAACATTATAAATTCTTTTACGTAAACTCTGATTAATTTGTCAGCGGATATCTTACCTATATAATTTATTATGA